GGGGGCGGGGGGGGGGGGGATGAAGACGCGGGCGTTAACTCTTAATTGCACCGTCGCGTCGTGCCGTAGAGATACGGAAATTCTATTTGGGGAAGAAAGAAAATTACAGGGAACGTATACATTCAGGGATTAAACGAGTTTAGCCGTCTAGACATCCAAAAGTTAACAACAAGCTACTGAGTTTAAACAAGCCGACTCTACCAGAAAAGGACTTTGCAATGACTTTACCGAAACGGTGTCCCAGAATAGTGTCCTGGACACAATTGCCATCTTATGGCAGAAGCTAAATTCGTTAATGCAAAGTTACGGCAGTGATTTTACCGTAGCGATAGAGGAAAAGTTAACGCGCGTTGTATACGACGAGTGCGAGAGTGTCATTGACAGGAAGGGTTGCGGTACATGTGTGAAGTTGGTTGAAAGGATAAGCGGTAGTTCGGAGATTAGTGGCGTTCGATTGCAGGATCGGCAAGCTGGGATAAACTCGAGTTAGCCAAGTAAATCATGGTTTTCGACTCTTTTCTCTCTCTCTCTCTCTCTCTCGCTCGTTCTCATATTCCTCTTCTTCGTACTCTCTATCTATTTTCTATCGAACGTTTCCGTTCATTTTTCGACGGTCCAGCACCGATACTCACGATAGATGTCTTCCTCGTCCGCGCTGACGCCCTTCAGGCCCTCCCGCCGCTTCGCCTCCTCTTCCTTTCCGTTTCCGTTTCCGTTTCCGGAGAGGACGTTTCTGCCGCAAGTTTCCGCAGCCAGAAGCAGCCCGACCATCATCCACGTGATCATTCCTCACATCTCTGGAACGACAGAAATGGGGTCGTGCGTTACTTACATAAGTGACCTCGAAAGGGCATTAGAGAACGCCAATTACTCGGAGGAGCATTAGGATTATAATCGGTGGGAGAAAAACGACCTGATGAGAATTTTAATTCTGATCGATCGTGCCGCGAGGATTGCGTCCCTCGGGAAAGAGGTGGCAAAGTGACTCTATAGTCGCGAATGTTCGCATTCTCGTCGCGTCCGTCGTTGACATGAAATGTGGCTGTCTGATTCCTCTTCTTCCTCTCATGCTGACATTGGACATTAATCTGTATATTGGATGAATAAAACTGATGAATGACTTAGAGATAAGAGAGAATATAAATAGAATATGAGATTAGATAATAATAATAAATATTTTATTCTTTTGAAACTATTTCGCCATAATTTTAATTTTAATTTTAATATTAATTTTTCTAAAATTGTGCTATGAATTTTAAACGCGTTCTGAATAAATATACGTGAAAATCGTGAAAACGTTTCTTGGTGAAGAAACTCGACAGTAAATTCAATATTCGGATTAGGAATTATGAGAGAAATTGCGGAACCGAATGTCGACAACGAATGTGGCCGATTTAAAGCGACGTCTCGTCGACTGCGGGTGCCTGCCGTTTGCGTATGTGCCGTCTGCCAATGGATAGTCTGTCTCGGGTGGATGTACATACCGGTACCGGGATGTCGATCAGAGCCCGATTCTAGGACACGGGCGACCTATCGGCGGACGTCAGTTCCGTGCGTCGTATTAGGGTCTCGACGAGTCAATGGATCGAACGTTGGACCTTTCGAGATAGATAAGGTCGTGTCGTGGCTTTCCTCCTGGGGGCCAGCCAGCCGCAAGAAACGCTTTCGCGATGACAAGCACCCTCTAATCGAAGTAATTAATTCTGAACTGCATGATCAGGATCTGCCAACTATTTTCCAATTTCAACGTAATCAGCGCACTTTGCGAAACTATTATTATTTTTTGCTCACTAAGGATTGCTTGCTATAACTTGTCGAGTTAGGTTTCCATATAATGAAAAACTTTAGTTTATTGCTGTAATGTGATAACATCTTGAATTCTTATGTCATACGAAGAGAATAGTTTTGCTAAAGTATCTAAAAATTTAACTAGATACTAATCTGAAAATAATTTTTTTGGACTATCAAAATAATTATGTAGAGAACATTCAAATTAGTTGCTAGAATTAAAACTTTTCGTAGCATTGTTCATCGTGCTTGAATTTTCAAATCTGGACCTACTTAAATTTTTTAATGCTTCAGCAAAATTGTTCTTTCCGTGCATATATTATGTATGTAGCAAAATGTATAAGAGATGAGATTAAAATATCTCTGCATAGAAGTTAAGCGCATATTTGAATATTATTAATCAGCACATTATGGTTTTTTGAGTATAATAGAAACTCTTTGAGAATAATGTAGTAATTACAATTTACAAGAAATATCATTAAAACATGAAGCTTCTATTGATGTGTATTGTTATTGTTAGTTTATACCATCTTAAGTTTGATCGCGCGTTTTATCGCTCCAATTTAAATTCATTCTTGTAAGAGGGCTTATGTCTCACGCTCTCTTGGCTTGCTGATGTTCCCATATCCTTGCTACTCTTCCACTTCTGAATACTCTTGAGTTTGAACTCTCTTAACGGAGTTGTTAATTATACACTTACTAACTTTGCTTTTATCCGTGCTCCACTTATTCGTAAAGTTTGGTGCTCGACGATGTATATAATGTACTGTATTTTTCTTTCTTGTTCATTTCGCGACATGACGAAGGAATATAACTTTGTGGTAAAATGGTGTTTTTATGTATATCGTTTCGAAAGAGCCAGCCGGAGTTTATCTTTGTTGCTTCACTTCGTTTTAATTAGTTCGAGTAGCTGATGGAAAATTGTGCAAAATGTGTATAAGATAGACGCGCAATATGCAATACACTTGATTCACTTAAGCGGTACACTTTAATTAGGAGTCCTAAACTATCCAACATCTCGTTTGCTGAAAGTAATACCATTGAAATAATGAGAGATTTATACTTGCTTTAAACGCGCATTTCAAACTCAGTGCTCGATTTTCTGCTGCTCAAATCTCGAAGTTTAATTATTCAGAATAGACGGAAGTGAATTTTACGAAATCCTTTGACGCTATAATTTGGATACTGCTTTGTAAATATGTACAGACTTGGTTGACGTATTTCTGCGCATCGCCTTGAATCCTTGCATAAGTTTTCTCCAGTTTATGCAAAATAACCATGCATCAAGATAAGAAAACCGTTTTATGTAAAATGGCTCGCGCGGAAATACATGTCACGAAACACCTGTCGCGCGTAAAACTTTTTCGCGAGCTTGGCACAGCACTGGGTGACAAAGCCCTGCCATTTATTGGCCTCGTCTGACAATGCGAATACTTTTCCTCTCTTATATCGACATATAATGGTATTGCGCCATCTGATATATATCGGCCATATTTTCACGACTGTGATTCACGTTTTAAAACGAGTTATTATTTAGAATTAGAATAATTAACTTCATTCGGAATAAATTGCTTGTGTCTATATAAAGTATCTACTCATCAAATTAGAGTAATTAGCTTCATTTGAAATGAATTACCTATGGAGTTTCTATCGATCAAATTGCTGGTTATCGCGCGCTAATAATTTCAGTTAGTCTCGTAAACGGGACGTTGATCGAGTAGTTATGTATATTGCCTATGCGCGCTATGCGCGTGTCTGGCTTTTGATCGAGTACAAAACGCATTTGGCGTATCGGATTACGAAGGAAGCTCTATCAATTCTAGAAAGCGCAGCTTCGACGGGAACAGAGTTCCAAATGGCTTAAAACTTATAATACCACTCATTATAATCCAGGGTAAATTATCGGGGATTAAATAAATTCGAAACAGGAATAAATAAGAGTGATCGCGTTAATCTTGTTAAATGATTATACCTATTGACTTCGAAGCTGCCGAACAAATCCTCATCGAACAATCATCACGTGTTTAATTACCAGTGAAATCAATTAATAAAATAGATCAATTGACGAAAAATAAAAATGATGTTTCATCTCATCTCGTGCGAAAGCTATCGACGTGACGGGGAATACTTTTTTCCGTAAAAACAAATGCCAATTTAATTCCGCATCAATCATGATGGCTCCCACGTTCTCGAACTCCGATTAGTTTAAAGGGGAACTATTTTCCAAGAGACAGTTTTTACAGAATGCTTTTAGGAAGCAGTGAAAATTCTGTTCTATGAACTGAATAGCTAAAAAGTCGGAATGAAATCAATTTACAATTTTAATACTAATTAACATTCTAAAAGCAATTTGTGACATAAATACAACGGTTACAGAAGCGTTATGCGCGTGCACTCAGGATTATAATTTCCAATGATTTCCATGTTCAAATTTCTAGATAATATCAAAATAGGTTAAATGATTTCTCTTTTAGGAAATATATAATATCGAACGTAGAGTTGAAATTATTTTATTGAAATGTATTTAATTCCTATCGAAATTACATATCTAGATGTAATACTTTTTTACACGAAATGGACATTTCCGGTGTAATACCGTAATGTAGGAGAAACGAATAAGGGGTTTCAATTATTGCTGAATAAATGTAAAACGTGGATAAAATTTTGTGTGCAAGAAACGCGAAAGGACGGAATCGAGCGGAAACGTAATTTGCGTCGATAATATATATGCGCAAGAACGGTATTTAAATTATTCACCGATTTGAATGCGAGCGACAAGTAAAGTCGCTTGGATACACAATCGAATTTTTTAATTATCTCTCCCCCTCTCCCCCAGACCGACTAAAATTATATCCATGTTTTCTCTATTAACGGCAGATAATAGAGACGCACATTTTCAGTGTGTTTTCTAAACATTTGTAGTAATAGATCTGGATAATTGGGATAACTCATGCCGCGTTCTAAAGCCCCTGTAGCTTCGGTTGTGGGCGGATAGGCTAAACGGATGAACAGATTCACGTTGCGCCGCGCAAACGCGTCGCAAATTGAAGAAAAACAGATCGATAGTAATCTAATGTTACATTTTCTACCCTTTTAACGTGTTATGATAATATTGCCTTAAGTATACGTGTATTTTGTACCAAACAGTGCGACAGTTAAATGATATCTGAGAGGTCCTCTTTAATTCAAAAGCTATACAAAACCGAGTGAATTTCCATACGTAGTCCTTGACACGTTTACACACACACACACACACACACACACACACACACACACCATACACACACACCACACACACACACACACTCCACACACACACACACACACACACACACACACACACATCCGACAGCAGATAGTGTGATAAACTTTATTATATCGCGTCATCATGCAATTTGCCTTTAGTTAATATTTGTTTACCTTTATCTTTATGCATCCATTTAGAATGGCAACTATACTCATGTCAAATGTACTCTTGGGATGTTCGCGACTCGGACCAGCAAAGGACAAAGGGAGTAAGTCACAAAGTACGTTTACATGTGGCGAATTTCGCACCAGTGCGCGTATCACCACGAATTCGTCAAAGTGCTTCAACGTCCATTGTTTATCCGCGCGTCCGACCGCATGCGGTTTTCTATCTTTCTACGGAAATGATCGACACAATCCATAGACTTTTAGAAAATACAACATTCCGGGTCGAGATTCGATCGGATTTCTCTTGTTATTTATTCGATGAGAATTGGAGACGTTTCGCCGAGTTTCGTGGTAATCCCAGTTGTATCGTGCCACGAAGGCATTCGAGACGAGGGCGAAACGAGGATGGAACGAGGGTTAAAGTGCAGGAAAGGGATGTGGACCAGCGAACGATACGGTACGGTGGTGCGATAAATATAATATATTTCCGACCGTAAGAGATACATAGTGGAGAAATATGCTTGCTGCGCGGAAACATACGCATTATATAAATTGCTCCTTATGAAGAGGAAACGAATTTTCCATTTATGTTTTC